ACCCAAACTTAGCAGCCTAAACCAATACACATTTATGCCAGCATCCCTGCCATATCCGAGTCTGGATGTGATGCTCCTTCTTTCTTTTCAAACTGTATTTATTGCCCTTTAGCATGTCTTGTAATTTTCTGTTAAAAGCTGGACATGATGTACTGGGTGGAAGGAGTTGTGGAAAGTAGGCTTTTAGGGGTATGGGAAGTTGTGAGGTGAGAAGCAGGCTATGCCTCTATGACAGAGCTCAGCCTTTAGTGAACCTGAGCCCCTCAGCTGTGAACTCACAAGTGCCTCTCAGTGTGTTCCCCTGCCTTAGATGGAAAGGATGGCTAGAGGAGGCTGGAGTTTCGTATTTCCCTTCCCCCAAGGTGACCAGGCTCTGACAAAACCCCAGCAGGTTAGTGCCAAGTTTCTGTTGAGGAAGTCCTGTTCAGAAGGACAGAATGCTCTGGTGTATTTTAAATGGCCAGAAACACAAGCAAATTTTTCTCTGATCTTCACTGTGAGAACCATGGTAAAGTTACAAGAACTAAAATTTACAAATGTGGGGGGCCCCTGGAGTTTTAAACTCACAGACATGCCTACACTGAGCCTCTAGCAACTTGTCACTTCTAGTTCAGGTTTTTTTCCTACCCTGGCACTGGTCCCTGCAGAGGTATCTACTCATGGGTTTCTGTGGTTCTCTGTATCTGCCTGCCTGTCTCTACAATTTGGGTAGGGGCAGCAGTTTGTCCTGTGACCTTACTTCTCTGATGGTTCTGAAAAGAGTTTCACTTTTTCAGCTTGTTCACTTTTTTAATTTGGTAGACAAAGTGGCAACTGCTAAGCTCCATATATGCCAGAATAGAAATTAGCAGCCTACGTTTATTTTCTCACAGTTCCTATGGCTCAGGAATGTAGACATGGTTTAGCTGGGTCTCCCATTTCAGGATCTCTCAATGGCTGAATTAAGATGTCAGTCAGGCCTGGGTCTCAACTGAAGGTCTGAGTGGGGAAGGATTCACTTCCAAGTATACAAGTTTACTGGCAAGTTTCCATTCTTCATGGGCTGTTGGCCACAGGCCACCTTCCATTGCTTGCCAGTAGGCCTTTCTCCCCAGGGTGGCTTATAGCATGGTGACTTGATTCATCACAGCCAGCAAGAGACATTCTGCTGGCAAGAGGCAAGCCACAGTCTTTCCTAACATAATCACAAACTGATTTCCTATCACTTTTTCTGTGTTGTATTGGTTACAAGCAAGTCATACATTCCACCCACACCTAAAGGAAACAAATATACTCAGTATGAACACCAGCAGGTGGGGTTCCCTAGGGAGGCCATATGAGTGTCTTTCCCCAACAGCTGCTCCCCAAGGAGTCTGACAGGGCCAGGGAGCTGAAGTATCCACCCCTGTCAGTCAGCCAGGAAGGGCTGCCCCTGGGTGGGCCCTCCTGGCCCTAAGGCCTCTGAAAGCTTTGGCAGAGCAAGTTCCTGCCACCCAAGAGTGTCCTCCTGCAAAGAGATTCAAGGATGGCTCTTCAACCTCAAGGAATATTTCATGAATACAAGGGTGACATGGTGAGGATAGACACCTGCTGCCCTCTCCATCCATACTTCAGTTAGCTTGGTCTGACCCTGTGCAATGGACAAAATCCCTCAGGCTTGGCTACAAAGCTTGAAGAGGATAAAATGTGTTGCAGTGGCTTATATCTTGGCCTTGAACCCTTTCTCTGCCCCCTGGGGAATTTACTAGCTCTGGAAATATTCCATACAATCAATGAGTTTGGGATCAAGGCCTAGACCCCAAAGAGCCTGATTTGTGGCCCTTGTTGGGTATCAAGCTCACCCAACAAAGCATGAGACTCCTGGCTTCTGGAGGAACAGTGCCCTTTGCTCTGAGAAGACCACAGCAATCCAGGGATTGTGCAGCAGGGCCCAAGAGGACAACCGCAGCTCTGCAAAGCACAGGGTGGGGCTGGGGAAGAAGGAAGTAAACCAACACTGATATTATTGTGGGACTGCCTCCCAGGAGTTGCCAGCGCTGGGGACTTTACGTCTTTCTCCCACCTCCACCCCTGTGGCTCATGTCTATGTCTCTGGTTTCCATACCGGGCACTGGAAGAGGTAAGGAAGCTTGTCCAAGGTCCCAGAGGCAGTAGAGCTGGGAATCAAGCCCAGGAGGATGACACTCCAAGCACTCCCTCCGCAGGGCAAGCGGAGAATCATTTCCCCCGTCACCGTGAATGTGTACAAACTAGTCAGACCAAGGAAACCCACCTTCTCGCTCTACCACCTTGAAGCAACAAGGAGACGGCCTTTGAGAGGCTGGAGGCAGGTCGCAGATGGCCGAGTCTGATGCTATGTGACTGTGACTGCACTGTCCAGGAAGCGTGGGGGCTGGGGGTGGGGGAGGGCGTGGTAAGGGGGTTAGGGAGCATGTGCACATAGACGTGGCACATACTTCAAACCTTGTTCAAATTTTATGCTTCCTTTTGTAGTGCATGTTGCTAACACACTGCAGTGAGATGACAATTATTTCTGGGAGGGCAGCATTCTCTGCTGTCCTCATCCACATGGGACTGCCAGACACATATCCAACAAAAAGGACCAATCATGCTCATGAACCATAGACTTGGGCTAAATTAGAAATGATTGCTTTCCCAGTACGCAAGTGGCCACACAGATGGAACGGGAAATCCACATTAACCTCAAGGGCTTGGTTTGTGGTTAGAACTCGAGCACATTGGTAGATAACATAACCTTATGTCAACCTAGTCGTGCATTCTGCAGAAGCAACTGTCTGATACATGTGCTAGAGCACTCATCTCAGTAGCAGACGGTCTGAAAGTGTGGGCAAGTCGGTGGGAAGCCTGCCAGTTTAAACGTAATGGGTCTTACACCCCAAGTCTTTGGGTTTCATTACATTGCCCTTGATTGAACATCTCCAGAAAACTGTGTATAACTTGAGTCTCTCAAATTTATGACACCTCTTTAGTGTATCACAGGGGTTAGAAAACTTACTTTTAAGGAGCGAAATAGTAAATATTTAGCCTTTGCAAGCCACACAGTCTCTGTTGCAATTACTACTCTGTCATAGGGGCCCTGAAGTAGCCCCAGGCAGTAGGTTAATGACTGGATGTTTTATTTATGAAACCAGCCAGCCAGCCCTCAGGTCATAATTGTTCTTCTGTATCAAACTAAGCAAAACAAAACAATATGAAACAATAAATGTGTACGGGGTTTTGTAATGTGTGTATGTTAGATTTTTTAAAGAGTATTTGGTTCTGCTTTAGAAAACAAGAGAAACTGTAAAGACGCAAGTTGCTGGTTAGATACATGAGGCATGGAAGTAAGAAGAGCATATGTGAATTTAACCACAGTTACAGAGGGATGGAAGAATCCAGAAGTCTCCCAATGTTAGTGAGGTCTTACATTGGCCGTCATTGGTGACACCCATTCTGGCCACTTGTGTCTTCTATCTGAGAAATGCAGCTAACACCAAGAGTTGCCAAGCCAGGGAAACAGCAAGCCACTTCTGTGTCTGGACATTCTCACCCCACTGTGGCTCTGATGCCACCGGCTGACTCCAGGCACTTCCCACCTCCTCATGGTCCTTGCTCACCTTCAACTGTGCTCCCCTAGCTGCATGCTCAGGCCTGGCAGACAGGTGCTCACTGTGTAACTCTAGGTTAGGTACTGTGGCCTTTCGCCCAGCTGGCATCCTGCCCTAAATGTGTCCACCAGCCCCACCTTTCCCCCTTTCTCTCAATGTGCTTTAAATTGACTTAATCAATGGTGTGATTCAGGCACCTTAATTTGGTCTCAGAGATCACCTATCCAGTTATGAACTTAGTGGCTACCATTGATCAAAGTAATTTCCTGCAGAACACCTTTGAATTGTAAAACCCATGATGTTAAGGGTCAATCAAGAAAAGGAACATGTTCCCTGGAACTTAAGCGTGAGAAACCTGGCAGCCCTTTACTTACCCACATGACAAGCTGACCATCACCAATGATAAGCCACATGGACGTCAAGAACCCCTGATATGTGTGCCAAGAAGGCCACATCTCCTGTGTTCTTCCCTCAAATCCATAACCTAGCCTATCATGACAAAACCATCCGAGAAGCCCAAACTGGGGGACGTGCTACACGTCCCTGACCAGTCCACCTCAAAACGGTCCAGGCCATGAAAACAAAAGGAAATGGGGCAACTTACAGACCAGATGAAGGAGAGACATGACACTAAATGGATTGTGAGGTCCTGAGATGGAAAGATGACATTAATGCACAAACTGGGGAAATCAATAAAGTCAGGGGGTTCATAACTAGTAAGGTGCCAGCAGGCAGAGGGCATACAAGCTCTCTGCATTTTCTTGACAACTTTTCTGTACATCTGACATTATTCCAAGTAACAGTTTGTTTATTAAAAATCAATTACACATTATTTCCTGTGGCCCTTCCATGGGTATAATTATGCAGAAGTAAAGAATTATCATGATCAGGTTTTTCGAAACTTCTTTTGTGTGTTTGGAAGAAATCTGGTGCAGTAAAAATTCTACCGCCTTTCATTCGGCCTCTGTTACTTCCTGTTATTCCCGCTGCTGGGCAAATACTTCTACATTCCTTTAAGTTCAGTCAAACAGATTCAAGTGAACAAGAATTTTGGCCAGCGGCCAGGGGAGGAATTTCCCGCATTCGATCAGCAATCTGTCCAACATCAAAGAGGTAGTGGATCCTGTTTCCAGGGTTCCTCCGTCCCACACAGCCCCCGAATTCTGTCATCTCTAAGGATGCATAGATCTAGGCCCTTTCTCCTTGTTGTGTGGTTGTGGTGTGTTGTGGGGTGAGAGGGAGGGAAGAAAATAACATTAATTGAGCTCCTACGGTACCAGCCCTCGCGGCTCTGCCATTTTATTCCATGGTTCTCAAAGTGTGCCTCCCAGGGCCTTTTTGGAGATGCAAGTTCACTGCGCCTTCTCTGCGAGCCTCGTGCAAGTATCTCTAATTTTCTTTTCTTCTCAAAACAGGAGCATGAGGTAGAAAGGCGTTCCATCACACAAACGATGCCACGGTGAAGGAGACTCACACGGCTTGTGGGAAGAGCGGTATGTTCAAGGACGCCTCGCTGAAATCTTACAGACAGAATTCTTTTTTGTCGTTTGGAAATGTTTATGTTGGCTTTCACTAGAACCACCTGGTAGTATTTGGGACTACCTCAATCTTCATACTGCCATTCAGTTGGCAAAGCTATCCCCAAGTTACAAAGACTTTGGGTCCCAGAAGGGGTTTGAGATTCAAAAATCTTCCCCAGATACAATGTTGTAGGTGAAGGTAAGGCTGCTGGCTGGCCTCAAAACTCCTGTTTTCTCAGAGCCCCAAGCCCTGCCCCAGGGTGGAGCTCTAATCTCTGACCCTCAGGTCTATACCCTTGACCTCAGCTGAGGAACACTTGAAGGGCAGTGGACCCAGCCCGTGCACGTGGCTGCTATTTCCCCCCGCTTTTCCTCCTACATCATCAAGTCTCCCCAATTTTGAAGTCTGGAAGGGCTTCTTCATGAAGTAGGATGCCCACCTCATACCAGGGACCCCAGGGAGAGAGAGGTCATCCTAGACCACTGCCCAAACATTGGCATGACTAACTTAAATCTTGAGACCCTGATGCCATCCCAGGAACAGTGACAACAGATGGTTTACACACCCACTATTCATTCCTCAGGTAAAAACTCTTTTATCTCTTGCAAAGAAGTGACTGCTGTCCAAGATGCTTACTTGGATCACAGCAGCTAGGGTCTGTTTGCCTGAGTAGTAAAGTCCCGAGTTTGTGGTTTTAAGCTACGAGATCTGGGGTAACTGGATATGCAGTGACATTCTCAGGGGTACTTGGGAAGCTCACCCACCCACTGCTGAGCCTGCCTGCCCTCGGATGCCAAATGTCTCTTTCTTCTGCTCGTGTCGGGGCAGAGAGCCAATCAGCAATCTTCCAGGATCAGCCACGCTTCCAGAAATGCAACCCGAAGAGACAGCTCTCTCTCTCTCCTGTAAGTCGCCCAGATCTTTCTGAGACATTCTCTTGGAGCTCTTCTCACTTGGCTTGAGGGTGGGACAGGTCCCGCAGCAACACCCTGAGGGTAGGCAGATAACCTGAGCCCTTAGGCCTCCCAGCACGAGCTCTGGGGCTTTAGCCCCAGGGCTTCCAACCTAACAAGAAAAGTCTTGGTCAGGGTCTCAGAGCCCGTGAGAGCCATTTCCATCTGGGTGTCTGTACTGTGATGGTTAATGTTGCCCAAAGGTGATAGGTCCTAATTCCTGGAACCTGTAAACGTTACCTTATTTGGCAAAAGGCTCTTTGCGCATGTGATTACAATAAAGATTCTGAAATGAAGAGATGACCCTTGGTTTTCCAGGTGGGCCTAAAGCAATCACCACTGTCCTTATAAAAGCATGGCGAGGGAGACTGAACTGGGAAGAGAAGGCCACCAGAGGCAGAGGCTGGAGTGACACCGCCACAAACCAATGCTTGCCACCAGAAACTGGAAGGGGCAGGGGACAGATTCTCCCCTAGGGCCTCCAGACGTGGCATGGCCCTGCGGACACCTTGATTTCAGACGTCTGGCCTTCAGGAAGGAAAAACTTGCTCTTGTTTTAAGCAATTTACGGCCACTGGTTCCAACAGCCCTAGGACCTGACACAGTATCCCGTAGGCATCTGATTCCAGCCAGCACCAGGAAATTCATTATTGCCTCCCCTCACCTGCTCTCCCACCACCAGTATCTGTTTATCAGCCGCTCAACTCAGTTACTGCAGCCCAGCAGTTGTTTTGACCCACAACGGCCCCCACCCCCCAACACACACCCTGGGAGGGGAGAGGCTGGGGATAGAGTCACACTGGATGGAACTGGGGAGTTTCTGGGTTCAAATTAGCAAGATTTCTGCCTTTTTGTCCCTATGCTTTCAACTCCCCATAAAGAACATGCCTCCCCTCACAGGGTCCCCACCTGACAAAGCCTGGGCCCCCTTCCTCTCAGCCTTCAGGGTAGTAGCTCAGTCATTCCATCCTGGATATGCTTTGAAATGCTTTAGAGAAAAGAGTGGGCAGCAATGAAACAAGAGTTCTACTCTGTGTCCCTTTGAAATTTCCACAATAAAAGATGAAAAAAAGAAGAAATTCCACCTACAGTTTTATTACCCAGTTTTTCCTTTCTCTCCCACTGAAACTGTGGCAGTGAAGAGCCGGTTCCCGGTCAAGCTGTCCTTATTTCACGCCATCCATTAGGTTCCCTTATAGCCAGAGTTAATGTTTCATATTTCCTGCATCCTCTCCCCAGTACCATGGGAGTCAAGAGTGCACAAGAGATAGGTGCTCATCGGCTATTTTAGAAAAAAACAAAAACTGAAAAACAGCCAATGGTTTTTTAAAATATGCAACTTTATAAAAATAGTAGCTCCCTCTTTTTATAAGTGCTCCTGATTTGAAAAGTTAGGTATTGTTTTATATATATATATATATAAGCATATGTATATATATTTCATAAAGAGGACTAGGTGTTGATTAGACCTCTGAAAGTTGGTTCTATTTGTCTTCTATTTGTTGATTTATTCATTCATTGTTGATAAAAAATATATGTATAGATAATATTTTTAACATTTTTATATGTATATACTTGATAGTATATATACATATAAATAATATATAATATGGAAATACATATAATATGAAAAAAAATACATATCTATTTTTAAAAGGCCATTTATTTAGTCCCTTCTAGTTGTCAGCAGGAAACGTGGTCCCTAACATAACATTTTAGAGAGTGTCTCCTAGAGGTAAAAGAATTGGAACTCAAACAGACCTAAGGAACACCTGGTTTTATAGGCCGTTTCCCCACACTAGGTGTCAGCCTTTTCCCCGTTTGCTGCTGGGTGTTTGGAGATCAAAGGAACCTCACAGGGTGACCAAGCGTCTAAACATCTTACAGAGGAAAGTCAGTCCACCTGCTCTGTGGAAACTACCCTCTGATACCAGTCGCTCATTGGTGGCTGGGAGTGGACAAGCAGGAGTCCTTCACAGGACTGGGCTCGGCGACCTCAGGCAAGTTCTTTAACCTCTCTGGGCTCAGTGTCTGCCTCTGTAAGATGGGGCGATGCCAGCCCCAGGACAGCTTGCTGAGGACCTAGGGCCATGTATGTAAGGTGCCTGGCTGCGGTGGGTTCCCTCTGGATGTTGGCTACGACTTCTTACTGCAGCTGTGTTGTTCCTCAGCAAAAAGCACTGCGCCCTCGGATGCGAGCTCCACATGTGGAGGCTACAGATGGAATAATGCCCCAGGACCAGGAGGTCTCTTCAGTTCCCCTCAGAGATGAGGAAGTATCTCCCCTACAAATCTGTAAATATTCCAACTTAACAAGATCCAAGGTAAAATCCTCAGGAGGCGAGAAGGGGGAGGGGATGGGGTGTGCTTGGGCAGCATTCAGCTCTTACCACTGGGCTGAGATCTGCAGCTAAATTAAATCCCAATGTTTATGATAATACATGCAGAAAACAAGAATAAAACGACAAACGACAAATGGTGACTAAGGGCAAAGGCACAGTGTCAAAGTTTCTCTTTAGCTGCCATCACACCTGTGCTCTGATCTTGACCCATCCTCCTCCAGTCTGAACTCATAGGGACCCTAAGTCAGGTACACTGTGGCTCAAGTAGGAAAGAGGCTAACATTGCCTTAAAAAAAAAAAAATTCCATGAAAAGGTGCTCTGGAAAGCCTGACCTACTAATTGAACTACTGATTTGAAAAGTTAAAGCAAAGTTTTATAAGTCCTCCTCCACTATATTTTATAATTATAAATCTTTTCTTGTTAGGATGAAAAACTAAAATAATTTGAGCTCTGTTTCTTAAAGAGGATTAATTTTTGATTAAATCTCTGAAAGTTCTTTTAATTTGCCTTTTATTTATTGATTAACTCACTGTTGATAACGTGTAAGCAGAACTACCTTTAATTTCAGCCTTCTCTTCTCTATCCAAGGAAATAAACCTCCGATTTGAAAAAGTGGGCCACGCACCCTGAGGCAATTGAATGCCAAGATGGAGACACTCATAGGGTAATGCTCTGCAGGTCCAGAAGAGTATATGCTCACCTTTGTGCCTTCTGAGCAATGCAGTTGAATGTCCAAGAAGTTGTAAGATACACAGAGCAAACGTGTCCCTGGCTTTCCAAAAGAGCAAAAGCTAGATGCTGACAAGTAGAGTCCACCCTTGGAAATTCTGGCTACGTTGTAAGTTCTTAGGAAAGAAAGCCACCGCTAGAAGTCCACAGTGGCTCAAGGTCATTCTAAACTGCAAAACAGGTGTAAGGTTGATACACTGGGGTGATGTCTTTCAGTCAGAAGACTGATATTTTCACTGGACATTTGACTGTGTCTTGTAATGATATAATGGACATGATACAGAAGCCTAGGTTGATGGTAGGATACATAGATGTGCTCAACTAAATAATCCTACAAATGTTGCTGAGAGGCTCTATGAGGGTCTGAGAGAAGGGCATCTCTATCAGGGCAGGCCACACAAGACTGGGTCCAGCCCTTTCAGCACACTGACTAATGTCAATAGAGGCAGCAGGCCTTTAAATATTCAAATGATGCTAACTGGAGGGATGCTTAATGTGAAGGCAAAAAAAAAACTCTGCAAAATAATGTTTATTAAGGATGACTGTAAATTTGCACCTAAGTTCAAGGAATGAACTGGATGACCTTTTCAAGTGACAGATGGGTAATGTGACATGATTACATAATGAACATAAATATAAAAGACGACTTTGTGATTTATGGAGACAATGAAATCATTGAACCTGCTTTAGTGAATCTAGTGGTCTGAATTTCAGCCCAGGCAAAGAGCTGAGATTTGTCAATGTCACCTTGGGGTAGAAGGCGGGTTATTTTGGGACAAGGCGACTTCCAAAAATTCTAGGTGCATTTATATATGGTCCTTCGTCTTTCGGTTTATCATATACACCCACTTTTTAAATCCAGCTATTTATTTGAAGATAATTAATTATACATGCACATGTACTTTAAAAAAAAAACAAAAACCAGAGTGCTCCTTTGCACCTGGCCTCTCCTAGTGGTAACAATCTGTTAAACTCCCACCCTCCGGGCACCTCGTGGGGCCCAAGCGCACGCCCAGCTCCGTGCTCTGCCTGCCGGCCAAGCGAGCCTCCTAGCACACGACGCTACCGCTCAGCATCACAACCAGGATGTTGATATTGATGCAATCCACCAAATTTATTCAGATTTCCCCAGTTTGCATGCAACTGTGTGTATTTAGTTCTGTGAAATTAATCTGTGCAGACTCTTGTGACCTGTACAGTCAAGGTTCATTTGAGATTGATTTTTACACTCAAGGTTCACACTCATTAAGTCTCCTTTTACAAATAAAAAAGTCACCTCATTGCTCTAACTAGAGGCATTCTGAACACTGTAGCTTGGAAATTACTTATGGGCAGTAACCAATGTTCAGCTTTATGACAGGAGCGGAGTGCAAGTGGTGCCCTTACTTAAATTGCCTGGATGGGACACAAAAGGATCAGCCATAGAATGCAGGCTACAGAATGCAAATCCGTCACCTGACCGCTGAAGACAGACCAGAGTAGAGATTCCTCGTCTGGACAGTGGCAGGGACCCTGACTCTTTGTATCCACTGCGTCCCCAGCACTGTCCTTGACGGCTGCTACCAGTATCATTACCTGCTAAAAGTTCCTGGCTTTTAAAGAACAGGTGTTCACCAACGTGCAAAGGTAATACAAAGACGTTTTTTGCAAAGCACACAAATAGCTATCAATGCAGTTATTTTTTTAGAGTGGACTTTTATGGAAATGGAAAAGGGACAGGAATAGATGGCGCACCTTCTCTATCCACGAGCATCCAGTGATTTCACACCACCCCGTCCCCTTGTCGGCTACGCGTGGTGGGACATGAAGTCCTTGTAGTACAGTTCTATGAAAGTGAGAGCGGACTTCCCGGGCTGTTAACTTTAGGAAGAGCCAAGAAGAAGCACTTCCTCATCCGGGCTGGGCACTGCAGGGGAGGATCTGGGGGTGGCTGGGCAGTTCCCCCGGGACCAGCCCAGCGTTTTTTCCGGCCCGACCCTTCCGAGCGCTTTGCAGACGGCCCCGCTAGGGCGCGCGCAGAGGGCTCCTGGCCGAGGTCCGCGCGGGGCCACAGGGTGCGTCCGCGCTTCCAGGCCGGTCCCCCATCCGGCCCGCAGGGGGCTCCCGCCGCGCCTCCGGCCTCACCTGCACGGCAGCCCGTAGCCCGCGAGAACAAAGGCGGGGGCACCGGACTGGCCGCGCGCGCCAAGATGGAGGCTGTTGTGGGTTGCGGGCGCTCCCGCCGCCTCACCTGCCGAGGCTCGGCCTCCCGGGTCGCCTGGTACGGGCGCGGGACCAAAGGCCAGAACTCGCGCCCGCCGCCACCGGCGCGCCCCTGCCCGCTCTGTGCCGCGCGGAGACCTGGGCGCGCGCTCCTGCCCCCTCCCCTCCGGGCACCTGGGGGCGCCAGGTTCGGACACCGAGCGCGCGCACCTGCGCCACGGGATAGCGCGGGTGTCCGAGCACGCGCCCCCCGCCCGTGCCCCTGCCCGCGGCGCGAGGTCCCTTGGGCGCGCACACCCCCACCTCGGGGTAAGCGCGGGACCCCGGGCGCCTCAGCCCCCGCACCCTGGCGGCCGCGCGGGTCCCAGAGCGCGCCCGAGCTCCCGCTCCTCCCACCCTCCAGGGACCTCGCGGGGCCCGAACGCGCGCCCAGCTCCGCGCCCTGCCCGCCAGCCCCGCCGCTCCCCGCCCCTCCCCGCCGGCCCGCCCCTGCCGGGCCCGCCTCCCCCGCGCGCTGCGCCGCCCGCGCTCCCGGCTCGCTGCAAGCTCCGGCCGGCACTTTCCTCCTAAGTTGCAGTTTAAGTTCGCCGCTGGCGGCGGCGGTGGCGGCGCGGGCGCTCGAAGCCTCCCTCGTCCTCGGCCGGCCGGTGCTCCCCGGAGTGCATGGGCGCGGGCCGGGCGGGCCCGGGGGGCTGAGCGGGGAGCCGTCTCCGCGTCCCGCGCCATGGAGGGTGCCGAGTCCCGCGCGCGGCCCGAGCGCCTGGCCGAGGCCGAGGTGCGGGCGGCCGACGGCGGTCGCCTGGTGGAGGTGCAGCTGAGCGGCGGCGCCCCGTGGGGCTTCACCCTGAAGGGCGGCCGCGAGCACGGAGAGCCGCTGGTCATCACCAAGGTAAGGCGGTCGCGGGACCCGCACGGTGACAGCCCGGAGGTGGCTGCGGGTGGGGACACCGGAGGGGGCGGCCTGATCGCGCACTGGCCTCGGGCGAGCATCTACCCAGGTCACCTGCGGGGACGTGGGGGGACGCGCCCCCGAAAACACTCCAGTAACTCCGCGGTGGCTTCCAGCCCTGCTGGCCCCCAGCGCAGCGCAGAGTTTAAATGGCTTCTATTCCGGGTCCCCTCCCCTCCCCCTCCGAGAAGAGGCCTGACCCGGTGGCCTGTCAGCCCCGGCCTTCGCCGCGGCGGCCTGCACCTGTGGGGCTGCCCAGAGGTTAGGGAGGAACATTCTCTTGTGCCAGGGTGGACCGAGCAGACCCCTCCCGAGGTCTAGCAGACCCATTCTTGCCGCCCTAGGTCTTTGTTTCTGCACCCCTTGAACCTGCACCGCTTATCACTAGGAAACCCAGACTGGGAGGCCGCCGCCAGCCCATTCTCTATTCCCATCAGCCCATCAATATTTACTGACTTTCGGCTTCCAGCCCTAGATCCACGGCGCTCTGGATATCTGCAGAAACGTACAGAAACTTTTCATCGTCCTTTAGCTGCAATACTAAGAAATTCCTTCTGTGTCTCATCAGGAATGTGTTTTGCATATATATGTGTGTGAGGTGGGAGGGGTGCTAATTTAGAACTTTGAATTCTCTTGTCTAAGAAAAGAAAAGAAAAAAAAAATCCATTTTGAAATTTACCAGCCCAACCTGTATAAAACCAGTCAAAACACCACAACCAATCATCCAGTTTTCTTCCGGTTAGAAGTGTCTATTGATCAGCTTCTCTGGGAAAGGTTGGGCTGGGCCATTCCTAGGGACAAAGTTCCTTTTAAAGTGTAAAAATCCTTGGCTACTACCAGAAGTGTGTGAAGGTGACTTACTAGTTTTCTCTGCTTTACTGCTTCGCCACGGCAGGAAGAAATAAAGTGGCTCCTAACCCTGCTGTAATGAGTTTGGAAAGGGGTGTGGCTTTGTTGTTCAGATACCAATTGAGATACCAGACTTTTCTATTCTTTCTCTCATTTTTATATTTAAAAAACTAGGGACTTTGAGGGAAACCCTTGTTTAGATGTGCACTGGAACTTAGGTTGAACTACAGAAAGAGGCTGTCATTGTTTTTATAAAAACTTAACTAACCTGAAAACCATTAAGGAATTGGATTCTTGGAAAAAGATGGTGAGCATACTGTGGACACCTTGCCCAGCAGGCCTTTTCCTGCATATGTGTCTATTCAAGCATGCTAGCTTATGCCTTTTTAATAAAGGTTTCACGGCACTTCTGGTGGTAAAAGTTAAAAGGATGCCAGGCAAATGACTCAGACTTTTAGCATGTCCCGTATTCCTTTTAAACAAGGTGCACAGTGCAACATACCTCAGACTTAATTTTATAGGAGATCGAATACACTGAAACATTATTTAAGGTGAAGTCTTGCCTTTCGACTTTACACAGTGTAAGAAAGTTGGAAGTCCCTTAAACTCTAAAATTTTTGTTTTTATTAAGCCACAGAAGGGGACCCCAGAGCACCTCCTCTTTTCTGCAGGTACCCCAAGTTCTAAAATACCTAGTGTATTGTTAGTGGCTTTCTGTTGTCCCTGTCCAGGAGGCCCCTCCCCCACACTTCAAACTGAAGGAGGCTGTCAGTAAAACCCAGTGGACACACTGGGGCCTTTTTGGGGAAGTTTGCTACTGATTTGGCTTGTTAGCTCTCACAGAAGTTGGGTAGTTGCTAAGGTTTCTTCTTTTTTAAGTTTTTGGGGCTAGGATGATAGTGTGTGCTCAGCTTTTCTGGATTGTGCATCAGGATTTTGCAGAAATAAAAATGTTTGTGATTCTTATGTGACATCTTATACGTCCCTCCCTTAACTTGCTGCTTAGTTTTTATAGATGCTCCAACATGGCTAGAATCTTGTGGTTTCTTTGCTTAGGATGGAGAGGAGTCTGGACAGTTTGGGACTTCTGTACTAAATTTCCACGTATGCTAGTGTGTACATGCACAGGGGCGTGCTTGCACAAGTACATAGATACTTGTTAACCACACGTCCTGTTGCATGGCATTCGCAGTACTTCATGCACCTGTCTTTCCTCCTGGATTAAGTCGTCAGTGATGCTTGTTTACAATCTAACAGCTGGTAATTAACTGTCACATTATGAGAAAAGGATAAAGTGTGTCCATTTAAAACCAGTTAAATAATGAAAATCGTCTGTTGAGTTGGAGACTGGGCATATTGTTCCACCATCCGAATTTGGATTAAGCCAATCTCTGAATCACCCTTTCCCAATAGCTACGGAAAAATCTTCAGGGCACATTAAATAATAATTCTAACAGTTTTTTTTCCTTTTGAAACACCTTGTAATTAAGTAATTAAACGTTAGTCCCCTGGGATATTACACAACCCATTTTCTATTTAAGAGAATCTGACTTGGGTGTAACTTGATCTGCTATAAGAGGACAGTTGTTTCATGATAATGGGGGGTCTCATTGACAGCTTCATAGGCGTGCACGTCTCAGAACTGAGAGAGATGCCGAGAAGAAGGCTTGTGCAGTCCCTGATCTTCACATGGAGACATATTATTAGACCATTTTGTAGGTGAAACAGCTAAGCCAAGGGAGGCTAAACAGAAGCCCTGAGGTCACAAACCTGGCACGCTATGGGAAGTTCCGTGAGGACCAGCTCTTGATCCCAAATGTCCCTGCTTTGCCTCCAGGTAGTGCCGTCTGCTTTGTCTAGAACCACTGGCAGTGCCATGTTAAGTAACTTTGTCACATCCATTAGATGAGGATTTTTCTGCCTTCGCACTGTTGGTATTCTGGGCTGGCTGGCTCTCTGTGGTGGGGGCCGTCTTGTGCATTGCAGGAGGTTCACTAGCAACCCTAGATTCCAGCCACTTGATGGTACTGGTACCTAGTACCCCTACTCCAGGTGTGACAGCCATCAGAAGTCCCCAGATGCTGTCAAATGTCCCTTTGGGGCAAAATTGCTCTTTGCTTCTGAAGGGTTTTTAGCTTTTTAAAGCTCATGCTTAATTCTTTTTGAACACTGGCCTTTTGGGTAGTTTGCATGGAGGGCTGTTTGCTTCCCAAGCACTGGCCCTGATAATAGGCTTTATTTACATAGTAAAACTCAAACAAATACTTGCTTCATCTGCATTTTTGTAGCTGGAAAAAGGAAATCAAGCAGAAACTCCCAGGAGCTGTGTTTTATGGGCATAGTCAGCAGGGCTGTTGGGTAAGGACTGTGTTTTCTTCCGGGTCTAGTTTGAAGTTAGAGGGATACCAGCTTCCCCAGAGTGGCATTCTTGGAATTTGAAGTGCTTGTGTGTCAAGTCCCACCAGACCTCCACTGAAAGGTGGATGCTGGATCTGTCACCTGACATTTAGCCTGTCGTTTTACTGTGGCTGGGAAATCCACAGAAACCCGATTCTCCATGCTGCTGTTGGAGAGGGAGCAGAAATAGTGTCCATGTCCTAAGAAAATAGACTTGGAGCTGTTAGTATTTCTGAGGGTGCACTTGAAAGCAGGACAGCCCAGGACCTGGGTGAGTCGGTGCCATGGATGTCCTTGGTGTCCTGTTTTTCATGTTCCTTTTGCTCATCAGTTCAGCAGATGTAAAACCTCAGTGGGGATAGGGAAGGGGCTAGAATTCCAAGAAGGCAGTAAGGGATTCCTTAGGAAGCATTCAGTGCACCAGCTGGGTGTCAGCTGGCCCCCTGCAGCCTCAGTAGTGCTTGTTAAAGGGGGGAAGGAATGAAGCCTCAGCCCCTTCTTTGTGCCATTTCTTAAAGCTCCCCTCTTTCCCTGCCCCCAAAAAGGTCAGAGCAGGGCCTTGGACAGAAGCTGCAGAGTAGATGTTAATTAGGGTCTGGCCTGGTCCCAAGGGCGGCTCCTTTGGCAAGTGGATGATTTTCAGGTTGCCTCTGGGGAATAAAACTGCTCCCAACCTGCCTCCCCCTCTCAGGGGGCACCAGACTGTTGAAACATTTCTCTGGACTGGACACAAAGTCCTTAAATGGCCTTTCTAATTTGGATGGAGAAGGTGGGGAAAGGTGGGTGGAAGGGAACTGGCACATTTTGGGGCGGTGCATGGAGCCAGGTGGCAGTACGTTCTCCAGAGCTCCTGATGTCAGAAGGCTCACGGCACAGATGGGCCTTGGTGGGTGTTGCAGGGGGGGCACAGAGCATGCATGGCACCTTCCTTTGTGGCTGAAAGGGCTTGATTTTATGGGGCCCTGCTAAGTCATGGTCTTTGGTGACCTGGGGACCTGCGAGCTCAGAATGAGCAGTGACATTGGTCAGGACAAGTTGTCCTTGATAGAATCTGGACCTGAGGGCCACCTTTCAAACAAGCCCACCCACCATCTCAGAGAGACCGAGGTGTCGTCTTACTTAGGCTACAAGCATTCTCCAGAGGACACATCAGCAAGCCACAAGCCCACCTTTCCCCCTGACTCCTCCCCTCAAAGAGCCCACCGAAAACCCTGGCCATAAAAAGCCTCTTAACCTGTTAGAGGCCCCCTTTCCTTTGTTCTGCTGGCCAGGACAAGGGGGTCCCTCTCAGGTTCAGCAGTAAACCTGCTTGGACTATTGAGTTTGCATTCCCTCTTTTTTCTTTATACCCTCTTTTTTCTTTCAGTCCTATGTCCTTATATTTGCTCCCAAGAACCAAGCTTTCTCCATATCAGTAACAGGTTTTAAAAAGAGGCACCTGTTGAACTGAGCGATGAACCAGGAACCCTCGGATCTGAACTTCTCTGTGAATGTGGCGCGATGTCTGTGTTTGGGCACAATCCCTGGCAGTGCCCGTGCTTGGGAATGCCGGCTCTTCCAGGTGTCTGGGAGGAATCTGTGGTGGCTGGGGGAAGCCACCTCAGCACACCCAGGGGCCGAGGCTGCTGTTGTGGTCCCAGCAACTCCTCGCATCAAGATCCTGGTCTCTTTTGAGGCCAGCCACAGTTTTTCCA